CCGCTAATCGAATCGGGGAAAACGCGAGGGGAGAGGCAGAAGTGTCCCTCGAATTCATTTGCTTGTGTATTCCATTTGACTACGCGGCATTTCAGTGTGCTGCTACTGTGCTCATGCACGCTCCCCGTCTTTCTATTTCCTTCCGCCTTCTGTGTTGCTGACACCCCTTTGCTTCGTTCTTCTGTTTTCTCTTCTCTCTTTGCTTGTTGATGCCTTTGCCTCCTTCTCCTGTAGGTGGAGCGGCGAGGGAGAAGCGAGTGAGCAAGCGGGCGCGGGAAAGAAGGGGACAAGGAGGAGAGTGCGAGAGGTGGGGAAGAGCACACCGCACCGGCGTGTGTGTGTGTGTGTCGTTTGGCCGATCCGCCCCCATTTCCCTCGTTCGTTCTGTGCTCTCATCATATAAACCGTCTGCGTGGGTTCGTGTGACGAGGGGCGTGTGTGTCCGTGGGTGAGTGGGAGCGGGGGTGAACGCCGGCGGTGCGCAGACTTCTCGTTATCGATTGCGAGGGCGGGCGACAACGACAATCCCAACATCAGCCGCAACAGCCGCCATAGGCAAGTTTAGGGTGGTGGCGTAAGGCATAGCGTGGAAAAGGGAAAGAATCAACAATAAAACAGAAAAAAAAGGACAGAAGGAGTCGCTCTCCGTTTTTCTTTTTCGATTTGGTTGCATTTGTTAGTCAAAGGCGCTACATGGGGGATTCCAGTAGTGCGGGTAGGCAACACGAGGGGCTTGGGGGGGATTGTGATGACCCTGCTGCTGGACTGGGTGCCCCGTCAGTGCCAGTCGACTACTATGTCTCTGTGGAGAACATCCAGCGTCTGTGGATAGGCAAGGCGGTGGGCCGTACCCTCATCGCCCCACTCGACCGCGTTAAGTTCGTGCTGCAGTGTCAGAAGGAGCTGCAGCGCTTAGGCACACTCGAGGGATCCTTCCGCGGGGCGTGGCACTGCGCCCGCCACCTCGCCGCGGTAGAGGGGCACCGTAGCTTCTGGCGTGGCAATCTGATCCAGGTGGTCTCCCTGCTACCCATTACCATTGCACAGATATTTATCGCGTTACCAACACAGACCTTTGTGTTTAACGCCTGTCCACACCACTCTGCGTTGGGGTACACTGCTGCCACTTACACGGCGGCCATATCTGGAGCGCTGGCGGCCTCGATGGTGTCGTACCCGCTAGACTACGCACGGTTTCGCCTCGCAGTTGACCTGAAGCCTTACCGTGGCGCGGCATACGAGTACCGCCACAGCATGGCTTTCTTTTCCCAGCCCATGCTCAATGAATACCCCCATTTGCTGTACAAAGGCCTTGGGCTTTACGTGCTTGGCAGTCTGCTCTACCAGTCCGTGCACGACGGCATGCTGAATGTGATTTGGCCCTTCATTCCTCCCGAGACACCAGAGAGCGGCTACGGCACCATCGCCGCGCAGGTAGCTACCGGCCTTGTTGTGTCGGCGCTCTCAACGCTATGCTTGCACCCTATCGACACGGTGCGGCGGCGCATGATGATAGCGGCGACGGAGGAAGACCTGCGCTATCCCTCCACGCTTCACTGCATGCGTCACATTCTGCGGACGGAGGGGGCAATGGGATTTTACCGTGGTGCCGCCTTTACACTGGCGCGTATGGTAGCCACAACGGCACTTTTTGTGGCGACGAGCGTTCCCACATGAGCTCTTTGTGGTGGGGCATGGTTTGGGCGAGCGCTGCTGCACAAAAAGAAGTGATGAAAGGGGGTTCGATTGGGCTTGAGGAAGTCTGTCTTTCGTTTAGGCCTAGTTCTGTGTGTGTGTGTGTGTATGTGGGTGTGCGTAGCGAATGTACTCCTGCTGGTACGCCCCCGCACGCACATGGTGGTCGGGTAGCAGCAGCAGAGATGAGGAGAGAAATAGAGACGCGCGTGGAAGGATGAGATGAATAGAGAGGGAGCGCGTGTCTGGACAGCGGTAGGCGGGGGTGGTGGTATTGGTGGTGGGGAAAGGAACGGGTGAGTGAGGAGGCAGCAGCGCTGCCCATATCCCGCGTTACCGTGCTGTTATGGCGGCCGGTGGTGTGCGCGGCGGGTTGTGGGCGTGCTCCTCCTTTGTGAGAGGCGTGTGTGTGTGTGTGTGTGATGCTGCACCTCCTTTTGTTTTTTTACCTGCCCAGTTGTTGTTGTTGTTGTTGTTGTTGTTGCTGTTGCTGTTGGTTTTGCTATTCCTTTATTATTATTATTATTATTATTATCGCCTGCCGGTGGCCTCAAGCCAGCAGGAGCGGACGCCGCCCTCCACTCTTCGTCCTTCGTCCCTCCGTTTTCTCCACGAAACGATCAAAAAGAAACAAACCAACAGAAATTCAAGAAAAACAAACAAACAAAAAAACAACAACACCCGGGTGACTTTAAGGCGGCAACAACGCCCCTCCTCTCCCCCCCAAACAACAAGAAATCAAAAAAAAAAGCCAAAAACAAAATAAAAACAAAACGAGGAGGTCGGGTGAATGAATGCGTGGGGATGCCTGCTTGAAGCAAAACACCAATGAACTCCGTCTGGTCCTCGGCTGTTTTCTTCTTTCGCTACAGCAGTGGGCGTCATACCCCCGCCGCTTTCTCTTCCCCATTGTTGCCTTGGACATGGTTCTATTTCTCTCTGTTTCTTTCCCTCNCCCCCGCCGCTTTCTCTTCCCCATTGTTGCCTTGGACATGGTTCTATTTCTCTCTGTTTCTTTCCCTCTGTGTGTGTGTGTGTCCTTCGCCCGAGGAGGAGAAAGAGAGAGGGAGAGAGAGCTGCTGGAGCGCGTGCGGAGCGGCACGTGTCAGCGGGTGGGTTGCCCTGCGGTTTGTGCGTCATCTCGTTGACATGCAGGCCAAGATCAGCAAAAAAAAAAGAAAAGAAAAGAAATAAAACGACAACAACAACAACAACAACAACAACAACAACAAGAACAACAACAAACGGCAAACACGCCGACAGCAACGAAAAGACAAGCAATCAAACCAATGTGTGCGTTTGTATGTATATGCGTTTGTGTTTGTGTCTACATGTCAGGATGGATGCATTTGCCACCATTCAGTCCGTTTCCCTTTTTCTTCTTCACATAGGAGCCCGCCTCGGCGGAGGCGAAGGCGCTCGCGCTGAGCGGGCCGGATGGGCAGTCGTGCACAGAGGTGCGCTGGTGGCGAGACGGTGCGTGCTGGTGAACCCCTCCCCATTCCTCAATCTATGCGCATTCTCATTATTTTTCTCTTTCATAATTTCTCTTTTTAACCCTACACACATACACGCGCATCCACACGGGCGCGTATATATATATATATATATATATATANTATGTCTACAAATCATTAGGATGAGAGTATCACCAGGGTGAATAGAGTTCGCGCATCCGGAATGAGCTGGAAACAGCACACGTCGCGTGGGCATTCTGAAGAGGTGGAAGACTCCATCCAGTACCTGCGGCGCTACTTGGGGGACGAGAAGACGGGTGGACTGCACCCCGCCACATCCCCGCCAGGCAACAAGAGCAACAACAACGATAGCAACAGCCCCGTGGCTGCAGGCGTAGTACCAAACACCGTGGCCCGTGGTGACTGGGGGGCACCCGGCCACTCACGCGAGAGTTCTGGCTCGACTCTACACGGTAGGCCGCCAATATACGAGCGCGGTAGTGACAGCAACAGTAACAGTAGATTGCCCCCGTTTAGCACTGACGGATATGACGTGCCCCCACCGCTGCGACGCGGGGACGGCATTGCACAGGTGGAGCGGCGCCACCAGCCACGTGAGTACGGTGGGCGGACCGTGACTTCACCGCTCCGTGAACCGCTGCAGCTGCACTACGGCTCCGCCAATCAGAGCCCTGCTGGGCGACCACCGCTGCACGGACAACAACAACAACAACAACAAAAACAGCAGACTGATGCCTCAGCGCGGAGGAGCAGGCCCATCAACTGGCGTGATGAGGAAGGTGACAACAACAACAACGCCCTACGTCGGCATGACGAGAAATATGCAAGAGGGTGGCAGCACGAGACGAGCGACGCGCGTTGGGCGAATCGCCAGAGCTCGTGGAGCCACCCGAGGCGCAGCCACACCGACCCGTGCAATGACACGCGCCCCTTCAACGGAGCGTCAGCGTCCGGACGCCAACACCGCCGCCACCACCGCTTGGGCGACGAGGGGCTCGTGGACGATGTAAAGGAGGAGGAACAGCAACAACAACAGCANCAGGAGGAGGAGGAGAACGAGAGGAGTGTAGCGATGGAGCGGAGGCGCACACCGACGAGGGCGAGCGACGTGAGGAGGTCGCACTACACAACACATGACCGTTCGCCGAACAGCAACGCGACAACTGCGTCTGTGACTGGTGCTGCGAGTCCTGCTGGGCGACACGGCACTCCGAACGGACACTCGGCGTCCGCACGGAAGACCAACATCAACAGTAACCACAACGGTAGCAAACTGAACTCACGTGCCGTGTTTCCGTACCCAGTGCATGAAGACAACCTGCGATCGATTATATTCTACCTGAAGAACAACTACGCGCTGGAGCCCGAAGAATCGCTGCGCGGTATTGAGACAATGACACCGGAGGACGCATTGGGCCTCGCGCAGTGTTTCTACGTTGACATGTACCGCACCGTGCGGCACGCGCGCGACGCGGCTGGTGTCGGCCGCGCGGGGTTCACCGACAGAGACCCCGACGTGGACTGCGTGGTTAGCCCTGCCAACGACCGTGAGAGGTGGACGACTGAAGAGGACGACGCAGCCAATATTGATGGTGGTGATGATGCCAGACGAGACGAGGGTGGGCGTGCGGATGCAGGCAGCCTGCCTCCACCAAAGCCTAGCGGCGTGACGCTGGTCGGCGCACCGCGGCGGTCGCCCCCACGACAGGCGCAATACCCGCACCCCCAGCAATACCAACAAAAACAGAAGCCACAGAAGCAGCAGCAGCAGCAGCAGCAACACGCGAAACCGAGAACTATCGGCGACGTGGAGGACACGCGGCGTCCCCCGCATGACCGCTCGCAGTCCCTGACGCAGCACGATACGTCGAGGACGCACTCCGCGCACGACCATGCCGACAGCAGTGTGCTCACCGCTGGCACTTCCTTATCTATCGAGGCCCCGCCGGAGCCGCGTAGTGGCATTCTGCGGCGCCCACTGAGGGAACTGATGCCGCTGCTGCGTCGCGGCTCAACGCTATGCAAGCACGTGGTGAACGGTCGCCCACACTTGCGCTTCTTCCGCGTGATAGACCGCGTCGGGACGTACCGCGGCGAGGAGGCACTGATGCCGCACTTCTCGTGGTTCCCAACAGCATCAGACAAGAGCCCTACCGAGGTGCTTAACCTGTTGAGCCTTGTTGGTGTGCACCTGCTCCTAGCCGACAATGCCGGCCGCTTCCACAAGCTCTTCCGCCGCAAGAAGGGCGTTATTGTTGACCACAGCCGTCGCCCGGTCGCGAACGGCATGTGTGCTGTCTTTCACTTCGAGCGCCGTGACGTGGCGGTGTCGTTCATGACAGAGGAGGACCGACAGCTGTGGGTGGGCGGCATGATGGGTGTGGTGGAGCGGAATAGAGAGGTCGCCTCGCGAGCCAATGTGGGATAACGCATGCAACAGCAGCACCAGCAGCAGCGATACGATAGACATTGTTTTCATTCAACGTGGCGCCCTGTGCCTATTGCATGGCTTGACTTTTCCCGGCCAACGGGAGGCGCACCGAAAAAGGACCAGGAAGCGTGCATGGCAACAGCAAGAGCACCCACCCACACACACACACGCACAAAGAGAAACAAAAAAAAAAAATAGATTGGATCTGTGCCTTTACCACCTGTTTGCAACGTGGCGGTGCCTCGAGTGTTGTTCACCTCCCCGTGTTTGTTTGCATTGTCTCTCATTGCTCAGGTAGCTTTTTGCCTCTTCTGCTTTGCTTGATACACCTCTTTCTTCCTGCAAAACACAAAACAAAACGAAGTGGAAGGGGAGTACGGGGGAAAAGGGTATTTAGTTGCATTGGGCTTGCGCGCCGATTCACCGGCATTGACGTTTTGATTAGTCAGGAACACACCGAGAGAGTTAGAAGCAGGCAAGCAAGCGTCGAAAAAAAGGGAAGAAGAAGGAAAGAAGACACACATCCGACAGAGAAAAAAAAGAGCGAGATCTATATATATATATATATATATAGAGAGAGAGAGAGAGAGAGAGAGAGAGAGGGAGAGGAAGAGAGAGAGAAAGTATAGCGATAGGCTCTCCGAAAGTGGAGGCTCGTACACGTAAAGTCTCCGCGTTCAGAACCCGCGCCGTCTTGTTGTGACCCCGGGGTGTGGATATAGTTCTGGGCTGCACTGCAGTGGCGTTTGCAAAAACAACAACAAAACAAAAACTAAAGCCTGGGCGAAGCTGCGCGTGATAGGGCATCCACACACACACACACGCGCGCGCACACAGCAACTGGGCGGCAGAAGCAGGAGCAGAAGCGGAATCTGCAGGGCGAGGCATCCACAGAAACAAAGACAAAACATCGCCAACATCACCACCAGCGATTGCGGAAGGGGAGCCCAAAACAACTGAAGCAACCAAAAGCGAAACGAAATACAAGGTGCCAGTGAAGAGCCGAAAACGAACGTCTGGCTTACCCCTGCTGGCAAACAAAAGCTGTTCATTCAACGAGTATTAATAGTAAATCTAAGATGCTGCCGGCGGAACGGATTTCAACCCTCAGCTCGTTGACAGCGCCGCTCATCCTCCATCATGGCGGCACGGCCGAAGCGATAAATGGTACAGAAGACTGGGGAGATTCAACGACACCCATCACTATCTGCTCGTCGCCGGAGGAATTCGTCTGCCACGTGCTTGGCACTGCACCACCCGACGGCAGTGGCAGCGGTAGTGCCAGCAGCTTCAGTACCACCAGCAGCAACGAAAACGGTGTGGCGCGGCCTACTCTGCGCGTCACACAGGACTGGACGTTCGCTGCGCCGCCATTGCCCGACGGTGCAATGGAATGGGGTGCCATGACGACCAACCGCCTCGACCACGTGCTGCAGACGTGGAGCCGGCTGACGGCGCACTTCGTCGCCCCTGAGGCACGCTCTGGCGTTGAGGTCAGCTTCTTCCCGACGCTGCTCCCCAGTTGCATCGCGCCGTCGTGCGGCGGCTGCAGCGACAGCGCCTACCACGAGGTGCGTGCGCATGTTCCTATCCGCCTTCTCCACAAGACGCTGCCCGACACAGACGCCGCGACGCCGCCCGACACATTGGCGGAATTTGTCAGCTCGCGCCGCGTTTACGCGCGCCGCCTGCGCTCGCTTCTCCACGACGCTGTCATCGCGTTCATGTCCGGCACGCTGCACGCCGACCCCGTACCGACTGGCGACCGGGCGATGCGGCTAGAAATCTCATCTACTTTCATGGGCGACACGGTGGTGACGGCGAGTGACGACAACAGTTCGCTGGACTGCAGCTGCATCTGCGGCAAGATGAATTCACAGAAAGCGATGCACCAACTCCTATCACCATCGCTCGCAGCGGTGGCGCCGCCTACGCCCATTGTACTCAGCGTTGGTGTGGCGGACCGCGGCGCCAGTGACGCGGAGGAGACAAACATCACGTTGCTGCTGCAGGCGGTGGTGCGTGTCGGGCGCGACCACGGCGACGAGCGTCAGCAGTGGGAGCCGGAGACGCTTGCCTTCGAGGTGCTTACGTTCCTCTTCCCCGAGCGCTTTGCCGTGCATGGCGCGACGTGCGTGGAGGTGGGTGAGGTGTGCTGCGGCCGTGTGTCATCGTGGCGCCAGTTTACCGGCGCGGCTGTTGCAGCGGCGCGGCAGCATGGACGTGACGCCAGGGGATGGCTCCCACCACCAGCCAAACCCCTGCAACTGCCAACAGGCGCCATCAATACCACTGTCACCATCGGGAAGACGCCAAAAAGAGTGTCACCAGAAGCAGAAGCAGCATCAGCCAACTCGGGCGGTGTTAAGAAGCAGCATGACCCCTACGGCGTGCTGACGTGGACCTCGGCTCACCGTGGGTCCCGTCCGATGGAGGATCGGCAACCCGAAAGCCTGGAGGATACTCCCAGTGGCAGCGGCGGGCCTAGCAGTAATGACAGTGGTGGCTTCCCACGGAACGCGGAGGAACGAAATAACACGCTTTGTACATCGGCGCAAGTGGATAGTGGGACTGCAGCGGGTCCAACACCCATGGGAACAACAACAAGAAAAACAACAGCGATGACAGAAGCAAAGACGTTGGCAATGCCAACAACAACAACAACAACAACAACATCCGAAACAAAAGCAGAGGAAAGCGAGATAGTACCGATCCTTGAAATGAAACAGATGATTCTGGCGCTGGTCGAAAGTCTCGCTGCCTACCGGCATCAAAGTGTAGAGTTGATGCAGACCCTTCAAACCCAGCTGGCCTCTCTGCCACTGCAGCGCAGTGTAGAGAAGGAAACATCCGTGCGACGCAGAAAGGGGAGGTCTGCCAAGGGCAACAGCACCGCAGTTGATGCAGAGGAAATGCATCTTATCTACGTCCTGTTCAGTGTGCCTGCTGGCGAGGAGGATGATGTGGCTGCGCTGCAGCGCGCTCTGGCAAACATACCCACTGGAAGCGGCAGTGATAACACATACGCCACATTTGACGATTGTGTCAGAGATGCCGCAGAGAATGTCCAGGAGCTGGAGCTTCGTCTGCGTGCGGCTGCAGTGGAAGTACAGTGCATGCAGGCCGACAACAAAAAGACTCCCAGTGGCGGTGTCACCGCAAAGAACGCACGAAGAAAGAGGGGTGATGTTTCTCTCTTCGTGGCTGCGGCAAAGGCTCTGCTGCAAGAACGCTGCCGGTCTAATGGCACTGCGTCAAAAATGACGGTCGGTGGTGGCTGCTGCGACGAGGACGACGGCTCTAGCAGTAGCAGCGGCAGTTGCGCCGCTGTTGTGCTGCGCTGCACCGCGTCTGGGCGCATGGAGGTGCAGCGCAGCCTTGACGATGCATGCACGAAATTACGGGCGGCAGTGGCGTGGGGCCATCATCGTGTCGCTGAGCTGCAGCTAATGCAGGTGCTCTATAGTGAGGTGCTACTGCCGTGTCTTCAGGCTCGTCTAGACGTCGGGAAAGAGGCGGAGAAGATGCGTATGCAGCTGCGGATCGATTTTGAGGTCTCTGCGGCGATCCTACAGGAGGCACACGATAGAGCGAACAAGGACGCACCGGTGGAAGAACTGGCGGCGGTGAGTAGGGTGAGTAGTGAAGTTACTGTTGCTGCAGCCCATGATAACGGCGGGGGCGAGGTTGCCGATGCGGCGCTTGTGAGGCGGGGAAAATGTGTTGCCAAATCTCCGCGCAGAACGGCGGCCATGGCAAAGCATACGGTGGCTGTTCCTGATACAGTGGAAGCAGTAGTAACAGAAACAACAACAACAGGGAGGAGACGACGCAGAGGAGGAGCCGCAGTGACCAACACCTCGTGCTTTGCTGCTGATGCATCACCACCGTCCCAATCGCCTCCAGTACTGTTAGGACCGCAGACACAACAGCTGGCGTCAGCAGTAGCTCCTGCGCCATTGATAGCTGCAACGGCAACAACTAAAACAACGGTGGGCACGCCGTCGCGAAGTCGTAGGAGTTGTAGTGGTGGCGGAAACAAGAAGCGGTCGACAGCGGTGGTGAAGGGGTCTAGACAGGCGGCAACGCAAAAGTATGAGGCGATATGGAGCAGCGCTGTCATCACCTTCGTGTGCCTCTGTGTGCTGGGTGTGCTAGCCTACTACCTCACGTGAGGGGGTGGGGGCCTCTCGCCGTTGTGGGGCGCTTTGCGCTGTAATCAGCATCTGCGCCGTCATCATCAGGAATAACGCGTGGCGTCTGGGTCACGGCATGTGGCACTGCCGTTGCAGGCCTGCATTGCGGACGTCGTGGCACACGAAGGAAGAGCAAAATGCAAAACGAAGGAAAATGAAAAGAGAAAGACGGGCGAACAAAACAACAAAAAAAACGAGGAGGTTTCAAACAAGCAAAAAAAAAATAATAAACAGCCGTTATGAAGAGGTACATAGCGTGGTTTAAGAGCTGACCTGTGCGTGTGTGTTGGGAAAGGCGGTGGTGGTGGTGGCACATGGATGCCGCCGCGCACGGCAAACGAGGCGAGGAGCAGCGAGGAAAGGGGCATGATGGATTATGAGCGGGGAAGGCTGGTGGGAATGAAAATGATGCCTGCATATTTGCTCTCTCTATCTCTCTCAGTTTCACCCACATGCCACCGAGGATGATGATTCTCTTTATGTGTGTGTGTGTGTGTGTGTNTATTTGCTCTCTCTATCTCTCTCAGTTTCACCCACATGCCACCGAGGATGATGATTCTCTTTATGTGTGTGTGTGTGTGTGTGTGTGTGTGTGTGTATATCCATGCCTCTGGGTGCGCTTTAAACACTCGTTGCTTCTCACCGCGGGTTGTCTGGAGTCCGCGCGCAATCGGACAGACTTGCGGGCATACGCGCATGCGCATCTATTTATATGTATGTGCGTCCAGCGATAAACTCTTCACTGCACGCATATCACGTGTTGTTGGGTAGAAAGGTGCAAGAAAAAAAAAAGGGGGAGGGGGAATTAATTGCTATGGGCGCCTGCCACAGCACCGTGATGCTGGGTTGTGTTTGTTTGGGTGAGCGCACGCAAGTGGGACTCTGTGCTGCATGGCCATGCTTGTTGGGGCTTGTGGGTGCGTAGAACAGAGCTTTCAAATAGAATCAGCAACACCAACACCAGCAGGAATAAAGAAAACAAAACGGATCGAGGGAGAAGGAGAAAGACGAGAGCTGGGAAGTTACGTTGAACCATAAGATAAAGAATGGGTCTGTGTGTGGCTGTGCAATTCCCGCATGGCGGTTTCTGTTTCTTTTTCTGCTTGAATTTTGGAGGAATGGCATGCTTGGCCAGCATGCATGAGAGTCATCTCGACTGGCTGCTATGGCTGCGGCTGCGTGTGTGATGCTCTTTCGCTCGTTGTGCGGTTTGCGCGCTCAATTGCTGCTGCTGCTGCTGTGACACGTGCATCACGCACACACACACACACACTCTCTCTCTCTCACACACATCCATCTCTTTCTTACCCTCTTGCTCGTTTAGTGAGTGGTTTATATATATATATATATATGTATATATAAATGTATATTCATGTTGTTATGTGCGGAGGGAATCAGCACGGCCACCTTTTTATTCTTCGCGTTTACCATTTCCGTCGTTGTTTATATGTTTTTATAACTCTAACTGTATATGTAGATGGGTGAATGTGTGTGTGTGTGTGTATGTCTGTGTGTGGCTGTTTCCTGGGTTTTGGTTCTTGCTGCTCTTACCGCTGCTGTTTTCTACCCACGTAGAATGCATACATTGCAGCCAGCGTACCAGAAGCAGGTCGCTGACAATACCAGCAGTAGCGCACACGCCGATATGTATCTGGCTGCGCACGTCCTCACACGACGCATGTGCGTGAGTGAATGTGTGTGTGTGTGTGTGTGTCGCTGCGTCTTCCAACCAAAGGGACTTCTTTGCTTTATATACGATGCGCTAAATTCATAGGGTTGTATGTCTGTCTGCGTGTGTGTGTGTGTGCTTTCTCACCTTCACCCGTCGTTCTCTTTCCCATGTTTCCACCGCTTTTTTTTTTT